CCTAGAAAATAGAAGATAGCTTATTAATCTATTAGAATTAATTAATAGTTTTTACTATTAACTATCTATAGATATATTTAATACGCGTTATATATACTACTTAGGTAACTATCTACTTAGAATAAAAAAAAACTATCTAGTTACTATAAGATTAATATTACTAGCTAGGTATATAAAAAGACGTTAATATATATATAGTAGTATATAAGGCTTACTACTAGAGCTATACTTTATAGAATAAGATGCTAGATCTTCTAAAGCCTCTATCTATCTCTAAGAGAGTATAGTAGAACGTCTCTATAGATTTTAAAAGCTTTCTCTCTAATAAGAAAGAATTTAACTATATATACGTTATTATAAATTAGCTAAGTAAGTAAAGCTTTTCTTTACTCTACTATAAGAAAATTATAGCTTAATATATAGTAGAGCTATATTACTAATATATCTAGTATATATATAGTTCTTCTAGGTTTATTATATTAGATTATAGTCTATAGTTTATCTCTACCTTTATAAATAAGCTCTATTAGCTTATAGAAATTAAGTAGAAGCTTTCTACTATATACTACTTATAAACTAATAGAAATATAAAGATTATTAATTAATATCTTAATTAGCGTCTATATCTATTTATTAACTACTACTAGAATAATTAGTTAGATCTTCTACTTTATATAGATTAGGTATAAGCTACGTTACTATATAAAACTATAGAACTAATAGTATATAAAATTAAATTTAAATACTAACTAATATACTACTAGAATTAGAAGAAGTATATAATAAAAGTCTCTACTCTATATAAGCGTTTCTTACGCTAGAAAGCTTAGAATTTTACTAAGAAGTAATATAACGCTATAGAAAAAGCTACTAAAATTATATAAAGTAATATTATAAAAGCGTAAGCTAGATAGACGCTCTAAGTAAATAAAAAACGCTAAGAACTTAATTTTATAGTAGGTAACCTTATCTATATTAAACCTTATAGCTTTTTAATAGATTAACCTAGTATAAAGCTAGATTAATAGATATATAGCTTTTACCTAATTATTACTATAAAGAGTTACTTCTTCTAGCTTTAGCTACCTGCGTATATATATATATATAATATCTTTTATACTAATTAGTTATAGAAAGCTTTAGAGCTATTACTAGAGTAGATAGAGTCTAAGTAGCTACTTATTAAAGTAGATAGTAATTTAGAATAGCTTGTATATAAAATTCTAGATAGCTATCTTTATTAAAATTACTTTTAATACTACGCTATATAGGTTACTTATAATTCTAACTCTACCTAGTATAATACTATAGACTTTATTAATATTTTCTATAAGGTAAAAGACTTTTACGTAGTATATCTAGATAAGCTAGAGCTACTATTATAATTAGATACTTAGATTAAGGTGTATAAAAAAAAGAAGACTCTAGAGAAGATAGTAGAGAATTTAAAACCTATAAGAGTAGAAGATATTAGAGTAACGTAAAGGCGCTACTAAGTAATTTAAAACCTTACTAAGCTTATAGTATTATTTAAGAAGAGAGCCTATAATAAAGCTGCTCTATAAATGCAAAAATAAGCCTTTTTCTCTCTAATAGTTAAGAGCTCTATAGAGAATAGAGTAACTAGAGAGAAGGTAGTAGCTATAAAAGCGCTTTTAGTTTAAAACTAATATAAATATACTTACTATAAGCTAAAAAGAGATAGTTAAGAGTATAATATAAGAGTTTTAGAAGAAGAAGAACCTAGAAGACATATTTTAGAGCTTAGAGATAAGCTCTCTCTATAAGAGAGAGTAATATAATAGTCTAACTTAACTCTAACTTAGTACTTTAGCCTAACTTAGCTTCGCCTAAGTTATATAACTCTGCCTAGTATCTTAGTATAGGTACTCTATATATATAGAGAGCTCTTAGAGTATTCTTCTACTTCTTACCTTTAGATAGCTAAATTTAACCTAACCTACTCTACTAGCACTTCTTATTCTTATAGCTTATAGAGATAGTACTATCTATAGCTAACTTATCTAGCTAGGTATTTAGAAATACTTATAGTAGTAAAGACTACAGACCTAGCTCTTATAAAAGTCTATAATAAGGCTGCTCTATAGACGCGAAAATAAGTTTTCTAGCTTAAATCTCTATAAAAGTAAAGTAACTAGAAGAAAGGTAGTAGCTATAAAAGCGCTTCTAGTTTAAAACTAATATAAATACGCTTACTATAAGCTAAAAGAGATAGTTAAGAGTATAATATAGAAGTTTTAGAAGAAGAAAGATCTAGAAGGCGTATTTTAGAGCTTAGAGACAAGCTCTCTCTATAAGAGGGGGTAATATAATAGTCTAGTTTAGAATTTACCTTAGGTTATATAACCTTAGGTTATGTAATTTTATTATATAACCTAGTCTAGCATCTTAGTACTTAGCACCTCTATATATAGAGAGCTCTTAGAGTATTCTTTTACTTCTTACCTTTAGATAGCTAAATTTAACCTAACCTACCTTACTAGTACCTCTTATTCTTATAGCTTATAGAGATAGTACTATCTATAGCTAACTTATCTAGCTAGGTATTCTAGAGGCGCTTATAGTAGTAGAGACTATAGACTTAGCTCTTATAGTATATAAAAAAGAGAAAACTCTAGAAAAGATAGTAGAGAATTTAAAACCTATAAGAGTAGAAGACGTAAAAGTAATATAAAAATACTACTAAGTAATTTAGAACTCTACTAAGCTTATAGTATTATTTAAGAAGAGAGCTAATAAGAAAGCTACCTTACTAACGTAAAAATAAGCCTTTTTCTTTCTAGAGAGAAGATAGTAGCTATAAAAGCGCTTCTAGTTTAAAACTAATATAAATATACTTACTATAAGCTAAAAGAAATAGTTAAGAGTATAATATAAGAGTTTTAGAAAAAAAAAAATCTAGAAGATATATTTTAGAGCTTAGAGATAAGCTCTCTCTATAAAAGAGAGTAATATAATAGTTTAGTTTAGAGATTTATCTTAGATTATATAATCTTAGATTATATAATCTTATTATATAATCTAGTCTAGTATCTTAGTACTTAGTATCTCTATATATAGCGCTTTTTAGAGCTTTTTCTCTACTTTTTACCTTTAGATAGCTAAATTTAACCTAACCTACTCTACTAGTACTTTATTTTTATAGCTTATAGAAATAGTACTATCTATAGCTAACTTATTTAGCTAGATATTCTAGAATACTTATAGTAGTAGAGACTATAAACCTAGCTCTTATAATTCTAATTATACTTAATTACTTTTTAGTAGAATATTAAAGTCTTTAATTAGATAATTTTTTATCTAAATTAGAGAATTCTACTAATTTAAATTAGATAATTTTTTTATCTAAATTAGAAACTAAAGTTTTACTAGTATTCTATAAACCTAATTATAATTACTTTACTTATACCTTACTACGTAATTAACTAGTAGGTTTTTTTTAAATTTTATTTTATAATATTAAATTTTATACTATATAAAACTTATATTCTAAGTTTTATTAGTATAGCTCTATTAGTTATAGAGTTAGAGAGAGTAAGATTTTCTAGAAACTATACGCCAGGTAGGAACGTGCGCTAGGTAGGGAAACCTAGTAAGCGAGAGCTTGGCATTCTTCACCGCTTGTTCGTAGTTGCCCCACGCCGTAATCGAGAAGTATCTGGTCGCAAACTTGCTACAACTCTACACAATCCGAAGCTCAGAAATGAACCTTCAGCATCTTGCAGCACTTCTCGGAGGACATGAAACACCCGCTGCTGTCTCCTTGTCGTCCGCGGCCCTGGCAGCGATGGACCCGGACACTCAAGCCTCGGAGTATGGCCAAATGCTGGAGGAACTTACCAGAATGACCCACGAAATGGCAGGCGGGTTGCGGGAGTCATCTCAAGCTCTAGGCATGCCGTTCCCCAGTCTCGGAGGCATGGAATCAATTCTAGGCGTACCTCGCATAAGCGTCGAAGAAGCCACGAACAAAGCGAACAGATGGAGAAGTAGCCTCTTTGACAGTGTGGAAAGGTTGAGGAGAATATTGGAGAGACATGAAGACACCATTCGAAAACGGTGGACGAAGAAAACCCAACAGCAGCGAAAGGCCATTCTCCTCAACGCGTGGCCGAACATGGCTTGGAACCACCGCCCGGATTTCCACGCGCTCCGACGCGACGAAGAGCGACAAAGCGAGCCCACGCGGTTCAGGGAAGTGTACATGTGGCCTCACATGAATCAAGAGGACTTGTGCAATGGCAAAACATTCCTCCTTCTGCTGGATGCTCGCGGGCATAGTCCTCCAATCGATTTCCGGTTTGCCGATATCGAGAGTATTGGCGTAGGGGTCAAATTTGGTGCGCTTACTCCCAAGACTATCCCAGGACCATACTACATGAGCTTTCGAGAGTGTTCGCGGAATGAGTACGGCAAGATCATCAGAACAGAGTCCTATGCAGACTGGGGCACCGGCATTCACGTCAATCCTGCAGATGGTCTCGACCTCCTCGAGATCCAAGAAAGAGTGCAGCGATTCTTGGTATCAGCATGCGAGGTACTCCTGCACGACAAAGGACCCGATCTAACGAGCGGTGACCCTGTTGCTCTACCTGCACCCCTCACCATAGAGGACTCGGAATGGCGTTCAGTTGCTACACTTGCGACACGTGCCCCATATACGCGGCCGGAGACTACAGACCTTTTGAAACTGAAAGATCTTATAGATGCGAGACTGGCCGCTGCGGAAGATCACATCTTGTCGCTCCACGAGGACCCAGGCTATTTTGCCACCCACGTCAGGGAATGGGGTGATCATCATATGCTCATGGTCCTAGACGACAAGAGGAAAGCCGCGCCACAGGTCGCAAATGCAGCTCAAAAACGAGAATTCTTGCGCTGGAAGTGCGTACCGAACGCTGTTTACTCAGCGTTTGAGGATGCATACTGGTGGGGGGCTTTGCAAAAACATTTCCAGGAAGTTATTGAAATGGATCGTACGTTCCACGAACGAGGACTAGAGCGAGAAGAACAACTTCCCGGTTTCTTGGCGGCCCTGCAAAAGGTCAAACGTATACTGCTCAATCCTATGGAACTCTATCTGTATCAACGTCTCAACTCTCAGTACCCAGCTTCACCGTCTATGCGGACTTATTTCCAACGGAGAACGGATCCGGCGGACCCTAGACGGGTCTTTATTGAGACACGAAGCGCCGACGACGGGGAGACGAACGATGAGCTCATGTGGTTGTTGAACAGGCTGAACGATCGAGAGCGTGTGCATGTGTGCGGCATGGGCAACCTATGTGTCGAATTAGATCGATTGATCCAATCGGATTCGAAGCAAAAGAAACGCATCACCGCAATGCTGGATGATCTTATATCGGACATAGGTCTTACGGCTGAGCTCTACAACCAGCTCTCACGATACTGGCCACGAATTTTCCTCCTGGAACGAGGCGTGAAGCATCTAAGTATGCAAGAATACCAACTGCTCGAGAGCCCTTGGTACAAAGATGTCCAGGCACCAATGAATAGTATCTATGCCGCTCAAGGCTCGATGCAACTAGGGTCCGATGCTGACGTATTGTCGGATTTGTTTCAATATCCGGTCTCGAAGCGTCGAACCCAGGAGAATGTGGAGATTATGCAGCGCGCTGAACGGCATCTGGACCATCTTTGGGGCAAAATTCGCAAAAGCCTTCGAGACGGGATGGATGAAAAGTCACATTTGGTCATCAGCGCTCTGTTGCCCGCTCGAGATGAAATACGGCGAACAAAAGATTGGCAGGCGCCTGTTTCACTTGCACAAAAGGCGAACACCGACGCCATGGTTGAGGACATGAAAAACCTTGATCTGGAAAGAGAGAGGAGAAGTGAGAAGACGATCGCCAACGAGGTGTCGGCGCCGCGAACAATCAAAACGAAGACTCGTTCTCAACAGCTGACGGACAGCGCCCATGTTGGCCCTATTGATCCGACACAAGAGCAACATGAGGATTCCATTCCCCAGCCCCAAACGTTCTCCTTGAAGAAGCGCGCGCTCAAAGTTTTCAGCACCATCTTCCACAATCCACTCTCGCCGGACCAGCCAGGCGAGATCCCCTGGGCCGAATTTCTCCATGCAATGTCGTGCATGGATTTCATCCCCAGGAAACTCTATGGATCCGTGTGGCAGTTTTCGCCGCGGCGCAAAGCCTTGGAGCGTAGCATTCATTTTCATGAGCCACATCCCAGTGGGAAGATTCCGTACCATAACGCGAGGAGGATGGGCCGACGGTTGAATCGCGCTTATGGGTGGGACGCCGAAACATTTGAGGCTGAATAGACGGAGTGGAAGGGAATAGGGTTTGGAGAGTATAGTTGTATAAGACCCGATTAATTTCTTGATGTCTAGAATTCCTGCCTATCTAGATATCCTAAGAATACATTAGTGGTAACGTGTTTTACTATCAACGCGGAAATGGGAAGTAAAGAATCGTGGAGTTGAGAGGATTCTCTTCTTAATCTCCTGCTACGAGTAAGTCGCAACTTTCTGCTATGGAACAGTGCCTAACATACAAGATTGTTTAAATCGCTCATCTGAAATACCAGTCCTTTTGCAGCCTTCTACTCTTCTCTTACAGCGAGAAACATGACTCATCGACAGTAGACAATTCATCGCGAGAGGCCCTTTTGGGTTATTGGTAGGCTCAGGGAGGTTCGGCCTAACGATAAATTCACTTCCCAGTCCAGGTATATACAAAACTCAGCTTTACAAACAATGCGAACCGCTCGCTCGCTCGCTTTACAAGCAGTGTTATCTAGAAGTCGGTTCGAAGAATAGTCTCAGTAAATCTAAGCGGCTTCAATCCATTCCATCAATTCCAACTGTGGCTGTTGACTTGAAATTGAGCAAGCCTCTTTCGCTCTGAAAGCTCTATGACGCTCTATTTAAGCCCGCACTTGAGGCGCGCTATAAGCTTGCGAAACGGCTTGTGGATACGCTCGCTAGGTTGTACGGCTACGACTGGATGAACAGGGGCATCAATAACACCAACATAATCTAAGATTCCCACAGCTCTATTCCGAGGATGCCATACAAAGCTTTCAATCCCTCAACACGGCCCTGGTCCAAGGCTTTAGCTACTTCCGGCAGCATACTGAGGCTTAGACTATTGATCCTAGCAAGGTGCTCAACGATCCTGAGTCAGCGCTATACCGACACCCAAACTACCAAGGCGACGCTGCCACTGGCTACCAGATTCACTACGGCATCTATTCGCTCGGCCTTGTTTTCTTCGAGATCGCGATCTGGGCTCCTTTGAGAAGTCTGCTTGTAGCTAAAGCAAAGAAGCCACCGCCAGTATATCTCTGGCCGGAGATGCGACACTTCCAAGAGGCTGAGGCCAGGGAGCTGAAGAGGAGGGTCGATATGAGGGTGGAACATGAAGTGGCTTACCGCGTGGGCACCAAGTACAAGGACGCTGTTGAGTGGTGCTTAGACTTGAAGGGACCAGTGACGGCTATCGACTTTTACAACAGGGTTGCGATCCCGTTGGAGGAGCTCGCTACTCAGGAATGATGACTGGGAACATGTGACATTATCGAAGGTATCTATTGGTCCCACCTCCTATCCCACTGATCTCCATTATGTAGAACCGCCGTTACGCCCGTTCTCCGTGAGACAGAACCCCTCCCGCGCAGTACTCCGCCCCAAGTCAAACAGCGGGCGGCGTTGCACCTCGCATTTCCCGCCCAAAGTGTCCGTCCCCTTTTACCGGCGTCGGCCGCCAGACGGCACACACCACGACTTCGGGCCCTTGTCCACCGCCTTCCTCTATCCTCTTGCGCGGATCTGTTGCAGGCAACTGCGGCAAGCCAATGCCCAGCAGCCAGGGCATCGGCTCACGCCAGGCAGAAACAACAGGCAGAAGTTGCACACCTCCCCCTCCCCAGATTCTTTGTACCACTGGTCCGGCTCGTACGGGCACCAGCCATGCGCGGTGGGGTGTCCCCTGCAGCATTTGTCAGTATTGTATTAGAAGAGAATGCCGCCTCGAAATACTCTGCTTGTGGTCGCGAATAACTACGGGAGTACGACGCGTAGGGGTTGTTTCTCCGCTTGCGCTGCTTAGCGCGCTTGCGCCGTTTGCTGTTGCGGGTGGTCGTCGGCTTGGAGTTCTCTGCATCGTACGCGGCGCGAAGCGCAGGGTCGGAGAGCTTCTCGTACGCCTCATGGATCTTTCGAAACTCGGTCGAGTCACCATCGTGGTTGGGACCCTTTTTGTCGGGATGATGCTCCTTTGCGAGGCGGCGGAAGGCGGATTTGATTTCTTCGATAGTCGCATTTTTGCTGACGCCAAGGTTAGCATAGTAGTTCTCCATGGTGGCGGCGCGTGTGGAGGATGGAGGACAGGTTGGGCACGACCGAAGAAAATATTTTATGGGCCAGTGAATGTGGACTCCGTCTTTGTGCGGTCACGTGTTGTCAAGGCGCGGGATAACTGCAAATTCCAGGAAGGAGCGGTGGAGATGCGGTTACTCGGTCTCATGCCATGTCATTCACTGAAAGTTCCCAGCGGAGAGTTTGTCGGCCCAGCTTTCGGTTGCCTATCCACCGTCAATTTCGTCCTCATCTGCGCCGGCACGTCCCACCCAACAACAGCACCCAGTTATTGCTTCGAGCCAAGATACAGCCATAAGTTGACGAGGTATGCAAACAAGTGAAGAACAAGAAGCCACAGGCTCTCCTGTGCAAAGAAATTCTCAACTGGCAGATTTCGGATGAGTGCGGACTTGAGAGAGGAGCTACGAGCTGAGAGAAATGCTAGCAGGTGTCTCGAGCGACTGAACCAATCCCGAACGTCTATCCCTACTTTCCAGTGCTTTCGCATTGTCGCGTGCGAGGTCATGATATTACTCCTTCATACATGCGCATTGCTCAAGTGCAAGTTTAAGGAGTAGAGTGGAGTCTCAATTCGACACCCATCAACACTACTAGAATAAGAGTATAGTGACAATAAATATAATCAGCATCGGAAACATTCCTAACATTCAATGCGCTCTGAAACTCTTCGTTCCGCTGGTGTAGTATGACACTGTGGGGTAAGTAGTATTAGGATTCCAGAAGGAAGTTGTGCCTCCAATTGCAGTTGTCGTGTTCTAGCCAGGTATGCAATAAGCTGTAAGGCATTATTAGTAATATAGCTCTGTTCTCTCCGTAGTCTTTCTAAGTTTATCATAACTAGCTACTAGGTTCGATCATCTTTTCATCTGTCCTTCACTTTCTGAGTTATTAACCCGTTTGTCTCCTTACCTATCGTATCGCGGGCCCCTCCCAACTAGTTGAACAACCCTTAAATCAACACCGAGGCGTTGCGCACTTGCGGGACCTCATTTCTGGATCTTCACCGGTGCCCGATAACCCGTCCAGTCTACAGCGTCGTGATCTTATGTCGCATGCTACGGAGCATGGATGCGCCATCGTCATCGGGGGGCTGAGTAAGGCCTAACGTCGTTGTGCTGCAACCCAGTAAGAGGTCCACCGCCTCAGCTGATCGACGAACGCCAAGGACCTCGCATCATGGCATTCCTGGGCACCGGTTTGCCTGCAGGGAACCGGCCAATAACTACGCATTCCGCCCATCGAATGTCTACGCTTATTTAGGCCACCTCCCCGCTCCACTCACTGAATACCTAGGTAGTGGCGAGCCGAGACATGCTAGCGGGAGCTGTATAAAGCTGACCTGTGGCAGTGCGCAAGGCTGAGGTTGGCCCCTTCGGAAACATTGTTGTATTAATTCCGCTGCTTCTCCGAACAACCAGTTCGTGCTAACATTTTTTTTCCCTTGAGTTTTCCCTTGAGAGACAATCCCTTTTGCCCTGCACAATTCGAATCGGCAATGGACTCAGTTCAAGGAGCGCGTTCCAGTCGCTCCACCAGAATAACCTCGCAGCATTCGCTTGAGGTTAGCAGAACTGGGAATGCGGTGTCCATACCACTACAGCCCTATCACCGAGTAGAGTCGCCGGATTCAGAACTCGATCCCAAAGAAACTATTCAAGAGGCTCCTCACCAGGGCTCTCGCCCCTATTCAGCACTCGCAAGAGAATGGTGGTGGGAATTACTCACATGGCTGTTCGGTACCTGCGCGTTTGCGACTCTGATAATCCTATTAGCCCGGTTCAAAGGCCAATCAACGGAGGAGTGGAAGAGCGTGGTGCAACTATCAACCGTGGTGGCCGCGCTTTCTCAAGCAGCCCAATCATCCTTGATGGTGCCAGTTGCATCATGCATTGGGCAGCTGAAATGGCCGTGGCTCCAAACTCGCCAGCCTATGTCCTACATCCACATTTTCGACGAAGCGACTCGAGGCCCAAATGGCAGTGTGTGGCTGCTTTGGAGACTGGCACGAACTATCCAACCGTAAGTGCTCTTTCACGCAATAGCTTGCTGAAGGTCCTCTGGTGGCTCTGCAGAAGTGAAGGGGGCAGTACATGGCTAACTGGATCAGCCACCTGGTAGCTCTCGGCGCTATTGCAACCATCCTCATGCTTGGCTTCTCCCCCTTTGCTCAGGAAACCGTTGAGACGAAACTCAGAGAAATAACGAACCGCACTCTTTCGGACGTAAGTAGTGTAGCCCGGGTGGCCAAGTACTCCGGCTCTGCGCAGTTCTCGACTTTTTACCGGGTCGATGCGCCGCTCAACGAAAGTAGCCAAGCCAGTAAGCTCAGTCTGCCGAGGACGCAATATGTCGCGCTAAAATTTCCTTTTAGTGAACATGGATCTTCAGGCAGCCATTTACTCTGGCATGACTAGCGATACTAGTCCGTCTGACGTCGATGCCTTTTGCTCGGCTGACCGTTGCGAGTGGGACTCATATACGACATTAGCTATCTGCGCATCCACCGAAGATGTATCGGGACGTCTTTTTGCTCGCCAATCTGATTCCAATATCACGCTTCCAGAGATAAGGGAGGATCCGCCTTTGGGCAAAGGTGCGAGGTCATTTTGGACCATCACTCAAATCAGCGACTATCTTTCGGCCCCGCACATCCTTCAGTCAACAGTGACTATTGGAGATGTATACATGGTATTCTATCCACCCTGTGACAACCAGTCGGAAACCCGCGGTTTTGACAGGTGGCTCGAAGAGCGGAAAGACCCCAAAAACTGGAAAGCCTTTAAAGGGAGCTTTCAACCGTGTCTTCAGACTCTCAAGACCATCTACCTCAACGCAACAACAGCAACAAATGTCCTAGAAACGCAGGACAATCTGAGTTGGGAATTGATTGGCGGCGCATCTAGCGATCCTTACTCGAACGGTTCCTTCTGCTACACTAGGCCTGACGGAGAGAATGAGCAGTACTGCATTTCAGCGAAGGACATGCGCGAAATTTTTGAACAGGGAATTGGGCCCTTGTTTAAAGGCACTGGGTCGTTCGCGACGGCAGGAGACAACTACTTTATTGGCGATTGGATCCCGACACTTGCGACCGACATCATCGGGAATGACCCTGTTGTTTGCAGTCCTAGTGCGGGGGGCTTGCATGGGTTCACTCGACGGCTGGACAATATTGCTGCCTCTTTGACCAACGCGTAAGTGTAATCTTCTTGACGTGTGCCTTTCGGCTCGCCTCGGACCATCCGCTTTCAGCTTGGGAAAACCCTTCTTAAGGTTCTTCAGCGAGCGATGCGCGAATCGTTTTAAATGACCATGGTCCGGCTATAGGTCCTTCAAGGCATACACCCCTTCCCTCACTACAAGTTAACACGCCCACGCAGGATGCGAACCTCCCCAAACAGCACCACCATGCGCGGCACGGCGTGGACGCAGGAGCAGTACTTTGAGGTCACCCTCGAATGGCTATCGGGGCCTCTACTGGTGTACTTTATTGTTACGATTTTTGTATTCACAACTATGCTCGGTTCGCGAACGTCAGATACGCCGATCTGGAAGTCGTCGCCTCTGGTGCTGGCGAGGGCTATGGACCCTACGAATGGGATGGGTGCATTGGAGACGGAACGGAAGGAAGCTAAGACTACCACCGTGCAGTTGAGATATACGGGTGAGAATTGGTATTTGCAGGAGCAGGTCACGCAAAGACGTACTGTGTGAAGGTTGGTGGAGCGAGATGATCAAGATCTGTGAGGAGAGTGGACCTCTAGGAGTGCGTATATTGATATAGAGAAAGAATGGCGGCGATCTGCTCTAGCTTCCAAACGTTGAGATGAAGCGGAAGGGGTGAATGCAACGTCCGCTGACTAACTCGATTCGACGTCACCGCTATCTTCTCCCGAGCCCTAACGCACAAACCCTGACATGCGAATACATCCTCATCAATTGCGGGGCCCACAATCAGATTTCAATGGCATCAAAGAAGGCTAGAGTTGAGCTGCTCTTGGTAAGTCTCTTCCGTAGTTGAGCAGAATAGTGCTAAGCTACCGAACAGAAGCTTGCAAACACGCCGAGTGATGCCGCTCGGAAGCCTCTGCCGGACGTGGACACGGTGCGTTTCATCCGATTCGCAAATGTCCGCCATCTAACAGTTTTATGCAGCAAGCCAAGGATGTCTCGCGTGTCTTCATTGACAATTTTATTAAATGGGAGAACAGCGCCGCTAAAATCTCCCTTGCGGCTTTCGGTCGCATGCCTCAAGGGCTTTCGGCGGATGAAAACGTTGTCGCGGCAGTGCACCAAGCCCTGGGATATCTAAATCTAGGTGGCAACAAGATCATCAGGTTCGTGGTTCTGGCGAAAGAACTTGGCATTGATTCGGACATCATCGCGACAGAACGGTATAGAGCGGAAACGGAACATATGTCTGGATTCGCGAGCGGTGGTTGCGCTAATAGTCTGAGTAGAGTCTGGAGGAATCGCATGCACCGGACTCGTCACCCCAGGTCGGCGCAGATGCGAATATGGAGAATATCTAAGCACTCTAGCGTGTGCTAGCATTAAAAAATTATATGCCGCTATATCAGTCTGAGAAGCTTAGATTGGGAATATGCAACTGCTCGGACGCCAAAGTGTCTCTATGTGCCGGCGTTGCGCTGGCGGTTGGGTGTGCTCGTAGATGGCCCGGAGCAAACAGAGCGACAAGAATGCATCCAAGGCAGATAATCCTACTAAATAAATACCTTTGTAAAAGTACACGGGAGGCCCCTAGGACTCTGGGCGTGGGCCGTGGTCGGGAAGGTACGTCATCCGGTAAGACAAATCGGGCCTGGGTAAAAGAAACGTGCTCTTTGGTTTCTCCGTGGCAGTCCCACCTGCATAGCAACGTTGACACTACACTCCCTTCCTCTCTACTCTAACACATGCTGCCATCTTAACGTTCCTGACCTCTTATTTCGACGCCTCCTCACCTAGTTACCGTGCCTTCTCAAGCCGCGATAGATAAGTTTCGAGATATCTGCAATCCGCAGTCCGTAAGCAAACCTATTCTAACTAGGGCCATCCGCGCGAGGGAGCTTTACTAATGCGACGTACATAGGAAGAGCTTGCGCTATTTAGAGATATTACATCGATGTTCAATTAAATAGAAGTGCTCGCCCCAATACAGTCTCTTCGGCGGAAGACATCGCGGCGGAAGAGGATCGACCGAATGAATAACACATGGCTCAGGTTGAGCGGTCGAAGCGGGATCATGCGGCCGAGGTGCGGAAGTTGAAGCGGGAGCACGAGCAACATGTACAGAACCTAACGAGCGTAAGTCGTTCCTCTGGATCGCAGAGCCTACGTACCTGTTAACGATGAAACGACACTTGATGCAAAGGATGCCGAGCTTCAATGGAAGGACGAAGAGTTTGTGCACGAGGCTCTGAGAGGAAACGACCGATGACGTGATGTTGGTTCCACGGATTAAACTTAGCGAAGGCCAGCGCGGGTACGTGACGGATCCACCACCTGTGATCAGGGAGGAGATCGAAAAGGCCATCGAAGACTGTGACTAAAACGAACGCGAACAGGCCACTAAGGAGACTATGGAGAGGGCCTTACGGAAAGATTGCGTCGAGGTCCGCTGTGAAGCGGAAACATTCTTTACAGAACGCAGGTCCGAGTTAGAACCAGTTCGTGCCATCGTCAGCAATGCCTGGCCTCTTCTCGCTATGAAGGTTCGACCGATCTACAAGACGCTCGTTCAGATGGGAGGGAAGTTTGATAGAGAGGTCAAGAAGTTGCGCAAGGACAGGGAAGAGCTTGAGACATAGAACGCCAGGGCCGAGGGGTATATCAAGGACCGCAAACAGGCGTTAAATGAGTAGCGATGTGCTCGAGTCGGTGCCTTGTTTCGAATTTCCCGCGTTGTCGGCATTGACCAGGATGAGGGTAGCGCAGACGAGGAAGATGAAGAGCATGCCACGCACGTTCGTGGGTACTTGCTTGATAAGAACACAGACAGACCTAGCGTCGGACCAATGATCCAACACAACTGCATACAGCCGCATAAAGGCTCTTAGAGCATGTACTATATATTGTGTGAAAGTGTCTTCTCGAAGTAGCTCTCCACACGTAAAAGCTTAACCAAGTACAGCCGCATAGAGGAGTCCGTAGGATGTGATGGCATACTCAATAAACAGAAGGTACTCAAGTACTAGATAGGACGAAATGTGCAAAAGGTACGTACCATGAGAACGCCAATGAAGCCGTGCCAATGTTCTGCTATAGCTACAGAAAGCCGTTGCGGACCTCATTCAGGATCCCGACGAAATATTTCGCTCTCGTCCCTCATGCACCTTTATCGACCGAAGGTGGGCGGCTTCGTTGGCTGATAGGCTGAATATATCGTGGCTGCATGACTCATCTGCAAGCTGTCTGCCCAGCTAACCATTACTTCACCTCAACCTGAGGCATGCATAACGCCCATCCTTCAGTCCGCTCAAGCCAATAGTCCGCGATCAGGTGACTGCGTGTCAGACCCGCGATTGACTCATTACGCGCGGGAGCATCTGCCCATGAATGCGGCTGCCTACGAGTGAACCTGCTGTTCTGATCAGGAGAGCGAATATAAAAGGGGGTAGAGATGCCCACACTCCTTCTGTCGACCATCTTCTTCACACACCTCTTTCGCCTGCCGAACGAGAACTACCAAATGAGAAATATATGCAGCAAAAGAACTAGGCACCTAATTCTCAGGCTGAGACGCCTTCATATTCGTTATCCCTCCTCTCTGTCTGTTCCCATCAGGACTTCTCAATCCCACCGTCTGTCTTCTACTGAAAAGAAACCTTCGCATTGTGGACCCCCAGCCTTCTGCCATCAATATAGACCACGAAGTCCACCGTCGCGCCGGAAGGAACCATCTCGACCTCGTATGTCAACTTCTTGAGTTTGATGCCACTGGGGTTTGTGATGCTCTTCATAGATGAGAAAGAAACGTCGAGCGTACAGTCGATGGTGCACAGACTGGAAACGCTCGACGTTTGCCGGCTCGGTGGCACCTCGTCCTGGCAATGATACAGATGCACTTTGAAAGAGCGTCCTGGATCCTTCCTGTAGGTCCTATAGAAGGAGTGACGAATAGGATCGACCTTGGATACGTTATCACCCTATAAGTCGCGTAAGTAGACGACCTCAGACCAATTTATGAACCAGAGCTTACTCGCTTCAGATACCAGCGCATTTGTCTCGCAGCTTTCCACTCCTCTTCATCGGAATCCCATTCTTTGTCTTCCTCGTCGTGGAGATATCTGACGAAAGGTGTCCGGTACCTGATACCCAGGCTCGCCCTTGCTATCGTGGACGTTACCGATATAGGGGCATCGATGTTGTTGATGGAGAATTCCGTGCCGCTTCCAGATTGAAGTGCATCAAGGAAACCCTTGAAGACCGCACCACGGCAGATTGCAGTTCGGCTAGATGCATTGTCATCATCAAAGCTCTCAACGTCATAGCTGGGAAAGGCACATACGGTTTCATGCCGGTGGATTGTAAGATGCCAATACCGGCACCAGAATGCCTCTTCTTCAAATGCTCATACAGATAGGGACTCGCTCCGAGACCGCCTACCAGTATTATTCCCTGAGGATTGTTAACTTTGAGTCGCCTGTTGAATTTGGCCGACGAGATATGGACAACCCACCGTGATAGATAAGTCTTGCTTAGCCGCTTTTTGGATTTGCTGGCCGACAAGAGCATCGATTCCGTCGAATGCGTCAGTGAACGCCGCCTGGATATGCGCGCTGGGCCCTTATATTAGCATATCGCAGCGGAAGCATGCTCGAAAGCTCGCCTTACCTATTGAAATGGATGCGCCCATTCTTAATGTACGGCTGCCGGCTAGCGTCATCCAAGCTGGATTTTCCAAAGGCTTCCGCCGGAATTCCGACGATGTACTCCTTCTTGGAATTTTCCGGCTTGAATTGAGGCTTAATAGCGTGTTCCCATTCACCCTTCATGATCTCCTTGATGCCAGCCTTGCTCAGGCGGTCCCACTTCCTTCCCAGCCGCGCCTTGCAGATAGTCTCGAAGGCCTCGTCAATGAAGACGCCGCCGCAGAGACCGCCTAAAGTAAGAGTGTGTTAGCCATCTCTCGGTAAGAAGATGATGCAGGGAGCCATACCTGTTCCTTCGACGGCTTCGTGCATAGCAATCGGATCCACGTCACCGATCTCATAGCTGATGAGATCCTCCTCTGAATTAGTACGCTTCGAGTAAGCCTTTGAACTTGCAGCAACTCACAACGGTACCACCTCCAGCATCGCAAATCATGTAGACGTCACCAGTCTTTACCCTGCGACCAGGCTCACAGAGTGTCGAAAGAGCAGCGGCCTCTGGCTCCGGCGCGAATGTCAAAGTTGTCGTCCCGGCCGGCCGACGATCGAGAATTCCAGCCATCTTAGCAGCCCGCTCCATACCTTGCCGCGCATAGCCTTTCCATATAGCCGGAACCGTGATAACAACACGGAAAACCAAGGCGTCGACAACTGACTCTCCACGGGACTTGTTGATAGATTCGATGACGTGGACCCAAAGCGCGCGGAGGTAGTCCGCAATGAGGTCGATGGCTGTCTTTCCGTTCTCCTTCAGCATTTTGCGACCGCGCCACAAAATCTCTGAATTGCGCAAGTTTGCATCAAGGTCCTCTTCCTTGAGCAAGAGGAGCTTGAACCATCGCACCGGGTCACCATCCGCGGGGATACCGTAACCCCAGTATGTCTTGCCGTCCTCGTAGAAGAGCTCTGTGGGGATCTTCCCCTCTTCTCGACCTGAGTCCGGCCACGTCGTGATGAGGTTGATCTGGTCGCTTTCGAAGTCCTCCACGGTCGCCCACGCCGCGCCGGAGTATCTGTCACAGGGAATCATTAGGGCTTTCTAGCCGGGATATCGGAGACTCACGTAGTTCCAAAATCGAGACCAATGACCATGACATCGTCACCATTGTCATCGGTGTCGTCGACGGGTTTTGACCGTTGGGCCAGTCCATGTGTAGTCCACATGTTAAGGCCCTCGATTGACTAAAGCAGTGCGGGAAATGGATATATTGGAGAACGTTAGGGCCTCAATAGCTCCAAGAACTTAAGGAAGATGGCATCTGATGTCCAATACCCTCAGGTCAGGGACCACAGTGAGGAGTCCGCTTATATGTGATTTTTACAGCCCTAGCCTGCCCTAGTCCTGAGAGCCGGTCGACTGTATCCAACGATTATTATTAGCAGTTGGGACAACACAAACCCGGGTCGATTGGAGGGACAGGCATCAGTAACTCCACGGCATGCTAATGACTGCGCCCAAAAAAAATTAAATTAAAAAATAAATTTTTCCTGCCTGAAACCCGGGCGGCCCGAGTCTTCTAAATTGCTTATTCTGATATGCATTAGCCTTGAGCATTTTGTTCAAGAATTCATTCTGTAGGCAAGTGGAAGTAGAGTAAGGTGAGTCTGCGAATCCACAACCCAAATATCATAAGTGTAGTTAAGCCTGACAGCAGCATTTCAGAGCAAGCACAACTGAAGTCAATTTTCAAAATAAGGCAATCTGGCGGTAAGAACGCCCAAGGAACGTGTCCCGGCCGGAAACAGAAGCTGGAGCGTGGATCATGCATGTAAGCTTACGCACTCGTCCTTCATTCCTTGGCACACTTCTTCTCGTCCTTCAGCCTGATACAAACAATATTTGGCTTGCAGATTTGGGCCAGTATTCCATTCGTATCGAGTGAAGATCGTCAATCCTACAATGGCTTATCTTCAGCCTCGTACACTCATTGTTCGCGATTGGAACGCTCCCGAAATGTGCAGCCGTCTTTGGAGTCTTAGATTGGAAGGCGTCGGACCATTATGCCTTATGATCTTTTTTTGGATGACCTGAACCCATTTTTGGGTCATGTAGCCGACACGTCGTGCTTGTTCTGAGTTAGGCAGCGAAATATGCTTTTCTTATCACAATCTCGTGCATTGGGCTTTGGGGGATGCATACTGCTAAGGCCAGCTCACCTGAAGAACTTAAGTAACAAATTTGCGATAAGGTCCTGCTACCGGGTCTAATTGTGACAGATCCCCCACATGCCGTTTTGGCCCGGTGTAAGTAACTGCCGTTTCTTCATCTCTAGAACCTACATCAAGAGCAAGACCCAACTAACATCGCGCCGCCACAGCTCTATATCCGAAACCAAGCCTCTATGGTAGGTCAAGGCCTACCCAACGGCGCCGAAATCAATATGACAGACGCGCCACTTCACTCAAGCAAAAGAAGACCACCCAAGATCGAGGTCCGCCAGGGCCAAAAGATCGAATCAGCTGGGAGCCCAGGAAGGAAAGTAGAGAGCGTGCGCGAGACGATTCTCCAAGTGGGACACGAGCAGCGCCTCTACCAAACAAGGTCCAGTGCTTCTGAGATGCTCGTCGGTTCGATCCCAGAAACGCAAAGGGTTGCGCATGAGTGCCCAGCAGCAGAGCTCCCGCCGCACAAGTCAGTAGAATCTGGCGCAGAATCTTTCCCTACAACACAAGTCGCTCTACCGCCACCACCCCATCCGAGACCGCAGCCAGGGCCGAGCACTCCGCACGCCGACTCCCACGAGCAGCTGCAAAACGAACTCCGCGCAGAACGTGAACGACGAGAGAATGCCGAGCACGAGCTCCTCCAAAAGAAAAGCGAGGTTGAGGACATCCGCAAGCGCTGGAAGCAAGCAGCGCGCGAACTTAACAAGTTACAAGCCCAGAGCCAGAACTTCTACCAGGTCACCGACACCTATCTCATTGACTTAATCATGCGCCTCCGCTACAACATTAGCAGCTTTGCCATCCAGCACTTTTCTGGCTCGCTTCAAGGGAGTGTCAAATTACGTGGAGACGCTGCCTTTTTCTCGCCCTACCTGGCAACTACGACCCGGGACTGTTCAATGTATAACGAATTCCTAGGACGCTCTGACCTGAGGCCCAGCATCATCCAGGCCTTCTTATGGAATGTCCTTGTACATGAGGTCTTCGGAAACTTCAGATGGGCTGATGAAGCCGTTTGGAAAATTGTCGCCATCTTGGAGCCGGGTGAGTATACCGTGCCCAGCAACAGCCCAGTACGCTGACTTGCTGCATACAGGCGGCCATATCTCCGGCAAGGCCCATAAGAGCGTCGCTCCCGAAGAATTGCGCAAGTTCCAAGTCTGGAAGGCCACCATGATCAGCCTCTTGCTAAGCACTCCACCCACGTCCTCGAACCCCCCAAATCCTAAAGTGCAGGAGTACCTCCGTACGTACAGGAAATCCTTCTACGAGAGCGTTGACGACGTCATCAGGCCATTTCAGGTGCCCTACGATAGAAAGGAGTGCGAACGCCAGCTTCTCAAGATCCTCGACGAGGCCTTAGAGCTCGACAAAGAAATAAGCAGGCAAGTGTCGCATATAGAGTGGACGTTCAAAGGTGATGATGGCACCCTGGCTTTCGATCCCGCGTTGATGGAGGTAGAAATGGGCATGAAGCAAGGGGGTAGTGGTCGTGGGCTGGAGGTGTTGATGGTGACGGCGCCGGGGGTCAAGAAGACCGGGAGGTCTACCGGGGAGGCTTTCCACGAGGTTTCGCTGTTGATGCGTATGCAGGTTTCGTATCAGTATGCTCTGGACTGAGCCTGGTCAGACGAGATGGATACGCCTTTGTTGTCGGCGCGGCTTTCGTGATGTTGGAAACATACCCAGTACGAGGTAGTTGTGCCGCCCTTACCTGCTTGCCTAACCTTCCGGGGCATAGTCGGACTGCCCATAGTCGCGTAATTTGTTCTTGTATTCCTTCTCTTCAGATATCCTTCCTCGCTAAGGGTTTGTCAATCAATACCACCGCAGTAAATCATCCACTTGACCTCATCATCCAGAAGACGCGAGTATACTACGTAGGGTACCAGCAAGAGAAAAGACGCTACCAAAAACCACCGTTCTCTCGCCCTTCAACATGCGCACCCACGCATGCTTTTTCCGACACAGAACAAACAGTACTATCTCGAATCGCATGCAAACTACACCTATTTTTATCTCCTCTACCTATCTAGCACCTAAACAGCCATGTCCTCATCTCCCCCAAGGTCCTTACCTAGGTATTCTAAATCTATACCTGAAACACCTCCCAAAACACTCCTCCAACAACACGTAGAAGAAAATAACCAGGGCCGTCGACCACCCTCCAACCACATCACGCGTGCAAGTATTGCATCCACGCAGCAATCTGGTACCTGTTTCAGAAAGTCCCAGCGAACAACCTTGGTACCGTCACGTCTGCGCATCCCGGGCCGATTCTTCATTAAAAGATCCCCGCGCCGAGCCGCTTGGCACAAACATCTGGAAGCAAAGCGGGCGAAATGTCCATCGTTATCAAATCGAGTTGTGCAATACATAATTGCGAATAACCTGCGAGGGGCACATTGCTCGAGATCCAGCGCACGAAAAGGCACCCGGAAGGCCATCAGGCCACCTTGTCCACTTTATTTCTTTCATTCAATCTGCTGGCATCATAGCCCACTTGTGCTAAGCGAGCGGCCCATCGAATCAAAGAGTTCTTCCGCCACCCCGGATGGCCGCGACGGCCATAGAACCCTAATCATAGAATCTGGCGAGGGTCTTGATTTCGCGACCAATGCGAGTAGTGTGTAGCGTTTATAGAAGTTAAGGCGTACCAGATTATATAGTACTGCGTTAGCTACTAAGTCTACTATAAGCAGCAGATAGTAAGAAGAGACCTTCTTAAGTTAGCAACTGGTCAATACATCGAGCGGATACGGGGTTTCGGTATTGAGACGAGAAGCGCGCTGCACAGTCTCCGAATAAAGCTGGTGAACATGTGGGAAGCAGGTTGTGGGCGGAACAGCCGTGGGCTGAGAGGTGGATGCGCGGGAAATTTTCGTTCGTCAGATCGTGGAGGAGTATGAAGCGAGCGGTTTCGCGGCGCAATGTTATAGCGGCTATACGGCCGTCTGAAGGACGTGGTCGATGATCTTGTCGGTAGATCGCGAGGCAGCGAGAGTAGGGACGGCATGGGGATGAGAATCGCTGCGGAGGTAAGTGGGAAGAAGACTAAGAGGAGGTAAGGGTTGACAGTAGATAGAACACCTTGCCAGTTGAAAATAGATTCCATCAGCTGCTGGCAAGCTCAACTGGGTAGTCTTACCAAGCCCTCTAAGTCTTCAGAAATAATCCCGCCGAACAGCCGATCTCTCCGCCTTCCACGCGAAACCTGGCCTCGTGTGGTCCCCATCAGGACCCGGCATCAAGTAGTCTCCTATGTTCAACCTATTCACGACGTGCCCATCAATCCGGCCCACAACCTTTCCAACTCTTTCCACAAAAGGGCCCAAGCCGCTCTCGCAGCCGTACAACAACCCCGCATGGAGGGAGCCCAAGACTTTGAGCATGTAGTTCGTCGCGCTCTCTGCATCCACGGGGTATAGTGGGTCGTTCGTGAGGTGGGCCATTCCGTCGATGGCACGGATAGGAATGTCTTCTTCGGAAAGCGTCTTGTTTCCGGTCTGGCACTTAGAAGTGTCCATGTCTAGATATAGCGTGCTGATCGCGACATGGCGCGGGTGACGCTTATTTCGTGATGCCGCGATGATAGCGGGGCTTACATCATGCCCGGCTTCTTCAATGGGACCTACAGCGAGAAAACGAAGAATGACGCCCCAGAGCGTCTTGCCTCGGGGCAACGCATTCCATCTCCGCTCGCGCCCCATGCTATCCTCGGTACAGGCAAGAACAATATTAACATGCAGCGCTTCCAAAGGCATGTCGGACTTGGGAGGGATAGAACGCCATGTCGGCCAGACCCAAGTCTTGTCGATGATGGCTACGTCCAACTGCAAAGTCGGCCATTTTCTTTCAAGGCATCCCATAGTATCATTGTGGAGTTTCGAGATCGTCAGGAGCAGCGGGAGCGCGCTTGGGAGATAGGCGGCTTTCGCGTCGGGCGCGAAGACGTGGTGTCCATTTGGCCAAGCTTCGTAGTCGCAGCTTCTGCAACGCTTGATATTTCGAGGAAGGGTAATTGGAGTATGGATTACGAGGGATATAATCTCGTCTTGGAGCTCCTGGGGTAGGTCAAAAAGCGAAGGCATATTGAACGATGCAATCGAAGAAATGCGGCCCGAGGTTGGTAATGGTTCGAGGTGGGAAGGCCGGGATCTTTCTTGGGCGACGCAGTTGAAATTGCGGTCAAGAGGGTCTTCCTTTGCTGCACTTAAGAAGTGAGGAAGCCGGCAGCATGCAGGATCGGAGGGGACGGTTGAGGTTTGAGGTTGAGATGTGACACCTCACCCCACTTTACGCACGGACCCTTGGCCCTGCTGCATCCCTCCTACATTCCTCCGAATGTCCTCCACTTCCCAGTCATCCGACAATTTATCCTTAGCCCGTCTTAAGAGCGTTCTCCTTACCTCGTTGCAGTACAGCAACAACGCACAGGACCCTTTTGTTTGTGGCGCAGCGACCGAATGCAGTTAGTGCAAATGACTCATTTTCGCTCACGCTCAGCCACCTGGGAAACAAGGCTCATTCCTCCATGAAGGAGTCATCAAAGCCCGATTGGGTAATGGGCCTGACTCCGTAGCAGGCGTACTTCAAGACGTATAAGAAGTGTTGCGGTGTGTTGGCCCGAACTAGAATTAGGTACAACCGCGTTTCGATCTTCACAGGTTCCTGCTCTGTTCCGAGCTCAGTACATCGAGCGCGTCTGTTTTTGATACCCCTTTTCTCTCATCCTCCTACACTACTACTATCAGCTACGGCCTAGATACCCATCTGAGCCATGGCGGGCGTCGACGAGACTTCACATTCAGCCTCCATCTCAACAACTTCCTATGAAACAGCACTATGCGTGATTCCGTCACAGCACGCATGCCAGGATATCGAAAACCTCCGTTCACTGTACGACAAAGGCTATGGGAAATGGCCACCCCATGTCAATCTTATCTACCCATTCGTTGAGCCCGACGCCCTTCAACGAGCAACGGCGCGAATTGATTCCTATCTTCAGGGGATGTGGGACGTGAAAAACGGCCCCGAGGTGATCCTGGACCAAGCTGACCACTTCGAACATCGCAGCAACAGCACAATCTTTCTCCGAGGGAGCGACGACTCGCAAGTTCCTTTAGCATTGCTTCGCTCCGCGGCTCTCCAGGCATTAGGCCAAGCGGCCAGTTCTTGCAACTTCCACCTCACAGTTGGACAATCAGAAGATGACACCCCCTCCTCGCGCAACTTTCTCCTAGATAAGGCTCGTCGGATTCCGGCACTAACTTTCGAGGTCGGCTCGCTCGCCATCCTAATCAGGGAACGAGCATCAGCTCAAGATCCGACGACCAATCGGATGAGGCTGTGGGGAACTTTAGATGTCTCTGCTGTTAGATCGAATTCACTGGCGCGATTGCCCGAATTCTGGCTTGAAGGAGGCTCGGATGAGGGAGATCGCTCGGAGACTGAGGAAGATGATGGAACTGAGCCCAACGATCGGACGTCTATTTCAACCGCTCTACGCCAACCTCGGTCGGGAACGACATTCCACTTCGACTCCGAGAATGAATGTTGGTCTTCAGTGCATTCTCCGCCGGGTGGAGAAGCTACACTATCTGCTCTTAGCGTCTCCAGCTACAACGTGCTGATTGATTCGGAATACCCCCCTGCACGAGACCGAGACTCTCTGCTAGTCGAGACGATTCTCTCAGACTCTGCAACCGCCGATGCCCTGATCCTGCAAGAAGTTTCCGACGACTTCTTGTCCTATCTGCTTTCGAATGAGGACGCCCGACGACAGTATGCGTTTACATCCCACGGTCCGCCTGATCAGCCTGATATTGGACCCCTCCCCAGCCTCCGCAACATCGTTATCCTCAGCCGCTGGTACTTCCATTGGGAATTCGTTCCGTTCCACAGGCGGCATAAGGGTGCAGTCGTCGCAACCTTTCCCTCTTTGCCTTTTGTCGTCGCGGGTGTTCACTTGACATGCGGTTTGACGGACGGTTCGGTTGCCGCGAAAAAGGTTCAGCTCCAAAATATCACCCGCTATCTCAAACGAAACCACGCTGACAAACCATGGGTCTTGGCTGGCGACTTCAATATTACCACCTCCAAGTACACGATCGATCTCGCTTTGAGGGACAAGTCCATCTCCCAGCAGACAGCGAGAACCTTGGAGTCGATGGAGTTAATGATCGCTGAAGTTGGCCTGCTGGACGCTTGGTCGGTAACCCGGGTGGAAGCGACAGATGAGAGCGCAATGGCTGATGCGGACCACTTATTCGAAGGGGAAGAGGGTGCCACTTTCGATCCAAGAGAGAATGCTCTCGCGGCTGCTACATCTGGTACATCAAACAACCGACCACAGCGGTATGATCGCATCCTGGTCCGCCCACAAGGCCTGCTTCGCATCGACCGTTTCAACCACTTCGGCCTCCCTGAGACATCCAATGGGATGCAGCAGGTTCCAAGTGATCATTCGGGTATTCGAACTTCAATGAAGATCCAATCGGGCGAGGCTGGGGGTCCGTCAAAGGAACTCGACATGCTGAATCAATACTCAGTCGAGCATACGCATGCTAGCGCGCATCTTTCACATGCCAGCGACTTGATAGATGCGTTGTCTAAGCGCCAAGTCTTTCCCACTGCCGAAGAAGAAGTACACCGCAAGAATGCCTTCGAACTTCTCAAAAGTATCGTTCTTGGCTCGTTCCATCTCGACGACTCCAGCACGCCAGACATTCCGATGGTCATAGTCCCAGTCGGTTCGTACGCGCTTGGTGTTTGGACGTCGATATCAGATATTGATTGCCTCTGCATTGGCTCGATCAGCTCCAAAACCTTCTTCCGGCTCGCTCGCCAGCGCATTCTCAGAGCGGAATCGCAAGGCGTGCGCCTGCTTCGCAAGGTGGAGGCAAATACCGGGACTATGCTGGAACTGTCTGTCAATGACATCAGTGTGGATCTACAGTACTGCCCAGCTGCGACTATCGCGCAGAAGTGCGTATCCTCGTCTTTTATCACGAACTGCGTTAATCCGATGTTACAGATGGTCCGACTTCCCCAGCCTCCAAGCCTCCGATCCGCTCTTCAATCTCCCCATCCTGTCGCTGCGCAAGCTCAAACCCGTTCGAGACCTTTCTTATATTCAGCGCACTCTACCCTCCATGGCGTCCTTCCGTCTCGCCTATCACTGCATCAAGCTATGGGCCATAGAGCGCGGCATCTATTCGGCCAAGTTCGGATACCTAGGCGGCATACACTTCGCGCTGATGCTCAGCTGGGTGTGCAAGCGTTTGGCCCACGATGGTGCATCAGTTAGCGCAAGCGATCTCATTGCCTCGTTCTTCCACCACTACGCGTACTTTGACTGGGAACATGAGATGGTGTTCGACGCATTCTTCCATAAGAAGCAGCCGAGATATCACCGGACAGCGAAAGAGCCCATGGTGGTGCTGGGTTTCCATGCTCCGAACTCAAACATTGCGCATACTGCTACTGTTCCAGGGTTGCAAACTCTCGTCCAAGAATTTCGCCTAGCTGATGAACAGCTCTCTGCCCCGGATATGACATGGGATAAGTTCTTCCAGGGCCATGAGCCGGCCGTCGCGGATACCAAAGTGGATCCGACAGTAGCAACGTTCCTGACGTCGCACGAGAGCTACGTCAAGATTGATATCCAGTATTGGGGCCGTACACTATCAATGGGGAAAGGTCTTGTGGGATGGGTAGAGTCACGTTGCATCAACCTCGTCGTTGGTAAGTTCTCATGTTTCCTCCTGGACTCCGCCCACTGACAAAGCGCAGATATCCATAAAGCTCTTCCACACCTCTTCGTCCGTATCTGGCCAGCGCGCTTCAGCGACAGTGACCCTACAACGTCCGGTGCCTACTATCATGGCTGCTACCTTATCGGTCTTTCAAGGCGGGAGCCCGAGAACACCGAAACGAGCGGGGAAGATCGTCAACACGCCAAGCTAGCTATCCGGAAGACTTTCGATCGCTTCCTCGCGCAGGTGCAGGCAGACGGCAAGTATTACGATCCAAACTCGTGCTGGATCGGCGTCTCGCTAGCGAAGCCAGGCGACGTGAAGAACATGCGGCTAGACAACCGAGAATGGGGCGATTATGTCGCGGAGTTTGAGCCTAACTCCGACGATGAAGAGGCCAGTGATGACCTTACTGAGGAGCCCCGGCCGGTGCAGAAGCTGCTCATCCGCCCGTCTACTTCGACACCCGTATCATCGAGTAAGCTCCGCCCAGCATCCGACATCCTCAATCGCCTGCGTTGGGACCCGAACCTCGACCCCAGTGACTACATCGTGGGATACGAAGATCGGTTCTTGGGCGCTAAGGAGACAGCGTTGGAGAAGTGGAAGACGGAGCAGACAGATGAGGAGTTTATTCCACAGCATCGGATACTGTATTTCAAGAAGAAGGGTGAGGGTGGTGGAGAGGTGGTGTGGGAGAGGGCGAGCAGGATTGATAAGATGTTTGGAAGTGGCAATTCCATCTCCTGTAGTGGCTTAAACATTGCTAGATAGATTGGAGTTGGAATTCCGGTGTCCATCTGCAGCCGCGAAGAGCCCTGCTCCCGACAACCTTACATCTCACTCCATCTCACTTACAAAATCCTGCTTCGGTTTCTCAAATCCACAGCTCTTTCCATCTCTCACCGCCACCTCTGCATCCTCTTGCTGCTTGTATTCTCCCTTCACGAGATCCTTCATATACATATACGGACAATCTTGCGCCCCTTCCCTAACAGCAACAAAACCCCGATGCCCAAACTGAAACAAATTATTCTCCACGCCCCACTCCCTCCGCCTCCTCCTAACTTCCTCAACCCGTATCTCACACACCACAATCGCATCCGGCGTGCCATCGCCCTGCTCCAGCACATGGCCCTCCGGATGCACGAACATAGCCTGTCCCATACTGCGAAACGTGCCGTCCGTGCCAGCCAGCGCAACGGAAACCGTGTACATAAGGTTGCAGAATGCATTAGAGCGGTTCGTAATCTCCCACGAAGACTTAATCGGCGACGTGTAGCCAGCGGTGCGGAGCAGAACCTCAGCGCCGCGGTACGCGGCTTCGCGCGCCATTTCAGGGAACATGCCATCGTGACAGATGATCAGGCTCATTTTGACACCTCCTGGGCCCGTGAACGCAGACACGCCGCGGTTTCCCGGGTACCATGGCTCGACGGGGACCCAGGGGTGCATTTTGCGGTAGTAGTCCGCGATCTCGCCTGCGTCGTTGATGGTTACGCCGGCGTTCCACGGGTTGCCTAGCTCGTTCTTCTCCATGATGGAGAATACGCCCCACACGGCTTGCTCTTTGCAGACGGCCTTGAAGGCTGCGATTTCGGGCCCGTCGAGCGTGCACATGAGGGACGGGGACGTGGACATAGAGAGCCCATGGATGCAGTATTCGGGGAAGAGGATGAGGTCTGTGCAGGGGTAGGCGCGTTTGGTTTGGCGGACGAGGTCGCAGACGTGGTGTGTGGCTTTGGAGAGGTCGGATGGGGTTGTGACGGAGAAGAGCTGTGATTGGACGGCGGCGATGACGATGCCGCCGGTGGTTTTATTAAGGCCGCCGAGACCGGACATTGTTGAAGTCTGATATTTGGGAATGCGGGGAAAGATACTGATGGAGAAGTTGGACGGAATTGAAAGGAAGGGGAAGTTGGGGATTGTTGCCGGTGTCGCATGTTTGAAGAGTGGGGATGAGATAAGATAGCTGGTGATGTCATTTCGGGTATAAGCCGCGATCCGCGTGAGGAGCGACTCTACAGGAGTTTTATTAATCAGATACTAAATCGACGAACCGACTCTACGCAAGCTCGTATTTTAGGATCAAAACCCTAGATGCTAGTCCATTTCCTGTAATAACAGCCCGCAGCAATTTGGTCTGTGAAGAAATCGCTCTCATCCCTATGGGGAAAGTAACACACTGTCCGAATCGTCACTCATCCCCCCGGCCAGCATGTCGTACAGATTGTGCCCGTGCGTTTTCGGGACCCGGATCTTGGTATAGACCTTCTCGCGGTTGACCCCACGGCCTTCCGCCTTGGCCTTTTCGATAGCTTGCTAAACCTCCTTCGACGGCCGTCGGTTGGCAAGCAAGCTTGCCATCAGATCTTTGAGGAAGGCTTGGGGAAGGTTATCGGCAGGCTCGGCAATTAGGGCGGCTCCATTGGTAGCATTTCCGTGTTCGGTGAAGAGATTGACGAGGAGGTTGCGGGCGGGATCGCCGTCAACCGTGCCCGTGTAGATGCTGACGATAGCTTCGGTAGTCGGAATAAGTGACGGGCCAGCATTTGCTCCAGGTAGGACATTCGGTGCGGTAAGCCTAGCCATCTCGTGGCGGAAGTTGTTCTTGGTTGGTTCATCCATGAGCATGGCGGCAAGGACGTAGACCTTACAGGTTTTGACAAAGACTTGCCCAAGAGGAATGTCTGCGCGCGCGATGACTGCAGCGATGGCAATGTCCGGGCGGTAGAGATGGGCGAGGTACATGTGGAAGACTTCTGGGTCTTCATTTGGAAGCTTAATGACTTTGCTATCTCCTTCCGCCCATCGGTCGGGCTTCAGTGCGTTGGCGAAGAAGTCGGATTGGTGGCTTATCAAGCCTTCGTGGACTTGGAACTGGATCTGGTCCTGCTCGGAGCCGACCAGGACCTTGACTAGCGGCGAAGTGACGAAACTAACAGGGTTATTTGAATGTACACGCTGTGTAGTTGGGCAATTTTACCTGGTATCGTATGGTTGAGTGTCTGAATTCATGCTGGTTTGGAGTATCGGTTGACCTTTTCGCCTGTAATAGCTGTCTTGGTTGAAGTATAGGCGCGCGGAGTTGTGAGTCGGCAAGACTGAAGAGCTGCACCATATATAGTAGTGTGCGAGTCGGCAGCAGTGATTAATCGCTATTTCCGGCTCGATCCGCTTTTCCAGCTCGGTCTCGACGTTCCATGTATCGAAGTATCTAGAACTTTCGTTAAGCAAACAGTGGATGTCATGTGTAATCACCTGCCTGTGAGAGCGTCACCTAAAAGTTACATACAGGTTGACTAGGTTACACCTGTGCTTTCTTTCGATGTGTGACTTTCACACGGTGCTTCTGAACATGAACATTTCTAGGGGATACCAGATAGGAATTTTCTGATGCATATAGACATGTGAGACCCAAAGAGTCGGACCCAAATGCCTTGGTTCTCTCGAAGGTCGGCCCTATTTACCTGTCGATAAAGATAACCGAACACTAGTTCCAAACCGTCATATTGGACGAGAATCTCGTAGGGCTGATATATGTCTCATATCACCTATAAGCGATTCCAGTCATGGTCAAAGGTAGCCGGAGCTAGTCTTTCACCTTTCGCCAGTCCCGACGCCATCAGGGATCCAGCGGTGGAAGTTGTCTTTTTTGGGTTGACTCGGCGTTTTCAGTTGTCGGATCTCCGCGTCTTTCTCCCAGATAGTAGAATCTTTGAACGAGAGTTGATGGTCTTTCTCTCGTATCGTTGCCTTAAGTTTCTCTATTTCCTGAGCCTTCTCGTTCAGTTGGCGTTTCTTCTTATCCTTCATGGCTCTTTCGTCGGCGAGCTCCCGTCTCAGCTGCCGGACCTCGGTCTCCTTTTTCTGCAACTTATTATCCTTGACTCGAATGATCTCACTCTTTTCATCCTCCTTCTCCTGGAGCCGGGCGTTGACATGGTCCTGACGAGGCCGCTTCTTGAGCATGCTGCGCGAGATGTCGTAGAGGAAGTCCGATGGCACGTTCTCGACCTCTTCTGGAAGGAATGAGCGGTCGCCATAATCGGTGTAGAATGCGACGAGCAAGTCCCGGATACTGCTCGAGGTTCGGGTACCGCCATAGATGATCCGCACACAATCTAAAGCGGCGGACTGGACATCGCCGGTCTTAGAGAGTTGACCCACACGCGCATAGAAAGAGTCCAGGACGACGGTCTTCGTGCGCTTATCCATCAGTTTCTCCGCCAAGACGTAGAGTTTGCTTAACGCAGTGAACTCTTCTTCAACGATAGTAGCCTCCTCAATACCCCCCGCTTGTTCCAGGCCGGCCTCACTATCTTTCTTGATGTGCAGAGTGTGAGTGTACAGCAGCTCCTGGTAAAGCGAGAAGGTAGCTGGGTCATCCTCTGGAAGGTTCACGAGTCGCTCATCGGATTCGGCCCGGTCGCCATTTAGCGCTTTCTCGAAAAACTGGGAGCGCTCGCAGAGGATGCCTTCGTGAACGAAGAACTCCTCCTGTAGCTCGCCCGTGCCGACGACGATCTTGATCGCGGGAGTTCGCAGTACGCTGCACGCATGGTTAGATCTAGCCTTCATAAGTTTGTTGGGGACGGTGTGGATAGGGCGTACCTGGTGGTGTTTGAGGCGGGAGAGCGGATATAGGTCGTGGATGCCATGTTCGAAGTCATGGAAGTAGATGCAAGGCGCTGCCGGTGGTGCAAGGAGATGAGTACTGGAAGTAGATGCAAAGAGGTGCCGATGATGCAAGAAGACGAGTATTGGTGAGTCGACTTGAAAGACAGTCAGTATGTTAGCGTTACGGTAGGGCGAAAAAATATTCAAGCGGGGCAACGCTGGGCGCGCTAGTCCTAAGGTGGAATATTGGGTGAATTCATCTAGTCTGACTTAATCCAAGACCCCACGAGCAAGGAATATGTACATATAACGCCTCCTGGCGATGAACTGTCCATTTCAATACAAGTGCTCTCCGGCGGTGAAGAAGATTATGATGAGACTCGTACTTCGCACACGAGGATGCGCAATTCAACTCACTTAAAAGTAGGAGCATTATCTATTCCAATGTCTCGTCACGGCTTTCTCTCGTCACGGCTTTCTCTCGTCACGGCTTTCTCACGCCGTGGTGGAATTCCCGGTAGCCAAAATGAGCGTCCGAAGTGACTTGGGCGTAGGGTTCATCACGGAGGGCGTACGCTCGGTACCAAACCACTTCGAGTCTCGAAAACTGGAATCCTCAGTGTTTCGCTGACAAAGAGGCCCTGCGGAGAAATTGAGAAATTAGTTAGTGTGCCCAAATAGCTGCTCAGCGAGGAGGCCAAAAATCTCCGTGCACTGGACGAACGCGCGGCCCGGTGCACTTAAAATTCGGTTCGTTGGTTCTCATACTAAATTCTCTGTCATGGTAACGCCCGACCCCCGACAGTGAGTAGGTCCTACACTTGTAATGTTTAACGGAAACTGTTGCAATAGCATTAACGAAAATTTTCACCTCCAGCCGTCCTTTACGCTCGTCGTGGTGAGTCATATTCACGAAAACTCAGTCCGGCCGGCCAGCACTTAAACGTGAGACGCCATGCCAGGCTCCATTAGTCCTTTGAGGATATGTGAAGTGTCGATATTGTAACTTTAAGGAGATTACGGCGTTTCGGGTTAAAAGCACAATTGTTGGGTAGCGGTATAATTGCAGAATATGCGGGAGCGGCCAACGCACCCCACCGTCATCGTATTATTGCCGCCAGTTATCGTGATGTGCTTAGTGCGAAGGGTGCCTCCATTGTGTGTCTTTTGACTCACCTCGCCATGCACGGGGCAGCAAAAGCTTCCTCCACTTACTTTGTGCTACCGCGGGGTTCGATCACCTGGCATTGAGCGTTTGCGTTGCCCGTCCACCGGATTGAGCGCCGGATCATGGGCAATAGCCGCCTACGCTGGTATAACTACTCTGCTCTTTCCCAACTTTCCTGCCTCCATCTCCTCGTCCTACAGCCCACCGCAGCTCTTCTCTCACACATGCCTAATCAATCACGCATACAGACAGCAAAATGCGCTTCCTTGCCCTCTTGGCTTTTGCCATCGCCCTGCTCACGCATTCGGTCGAGGCACTCCCTCTCGAAGACACTGCTCTCATGTCCCTAGCTATCCCAACCGAGGGCGCCTTGGCCTCTCTCCTCGAGACTTCTGACTCCGCTTCTCGATGCCAACCGCTCAACATCTGCGCCGTCGTCACCTTCGGGGATAGGACACAATCCGAGTTCGGGAACACGCGCTGTACTCGACTAAAGGATGACGCCTGGGCTGTCTACGTCAATAAGTGCACTTGCGGGTTCTACAAGTGAGAATGAGGATGCATGACCTGAGTATGATGGTACTGACTAGTTCAGCGCGCCCGGTTGCAAGAGCAAGGATTACCTCGGCGGAATGAATTGCCAGGGGCCACGAATCTTGGACGTCCCTAGGCCTGTGCGATACATTACGTGTGTTGGAAACAAATGGCCTTAGTGAAGAGGCACCGGGTTGTGGCGGCTGGCATGTCGCCTTTCCGGCAAGGGCATACAGGGCTTGCTTAATGGTTGTCTAGATTTTTCGGTACAGGATGGGAGTCATGGTAGATTTCTGTCATATAGGGTTTGTACTGAGCAACCAATACAATTTGTCTACACATAGGGAGATGTTTCCTATACACGCTGATGAATGCAGGTGATGGGAGCTATCGGTCGGCCGCTCCGAGTATCTCCAGGCTCTCCTGGAAACCCCTTTAGACTGTACAATTATTCACTGTCGCTCGTATCCGCACCTTCCATCCTTATTCCCCATTTACTTCGACTCTTGCCAATGGCGCGGCGCGCAAGTATTTATAAGAAAATGGGCTAGTTGAAGTCGAATGCTATCAGCTTGCCTAAGCAGTTACTACACAAGCAATGCTCATTCACTATTACACAGCTCCAACGACGTCATAGCGCATCCACGCGATGGCCGCAACAAACGTATTTCAACCCCAAAAACTATTACTCAGCGATATACTTTCCCAACCTCCACTGGATTTTCTCCTCGAGCACGGGTACAGGAACGCAACCATGGAGGTAGCTGAGGGGATGCTCGTCGCGAAGTCAACAGCGACGGAGTAAGCAAATAAAGCAGGCAATGAGACAAGCAGCTAACTTTTTCAGGTTCATCTACTCTGAGCTCATCGACATCTACGTCGGCCAAGAATCGGCCAGCCAGCAGAAATTCCAAGCGCACAAAGACATTCTCACTAGCCACTCTCCATTCTTCGAAGCCGCAGTCAACAGCACCACGTGGGCTGAAGGTTTGGATAAAGTCGTGCGCATGCCGGACGACGACCCAGAAGCCTTCGGGATCTGGCTGCAACTGACGTACACCGGAAAGATGGGCATAGAAGACGGCTCGATGGAGGGGAACAGAGTGTACGAGCTGCTGATGATGGTCTATGTGATGGCGGAGAAATTGATCGACTCGCGTACGATGGATATTTGCATGGAAGCCACACTGAAGCGCATGCGAACGATGCAGCACGACGGATATAGGCACTTCCCCGGTTCAAAACCGATTCGAATTCTATACGGTGGTACTCCCGAGAGTAGCCCCATGCGGCGCTTGTTGGTGGACGCCTACGCTCAGAATGCGACGCCGGCCTTTCTTGATGGGAAGATAGAGGAATTACCGAAAGAGTTCCTTTTCGATCTCTCCATGGCTTTGATCAAGATTCATATCGGGCTAGCTAATTGCGAGGATTCCGTCATGACATTTTCAGCGGAGAAGTACTTGGAAAGCATGAACTTGGAGGAGAAAGTCGAGAATTAAGGTTTGCCCGGCTTCTCATTCCGTGGTCTTTGATGCCGAGGGTCATGGTGTTACCTAGGCGCAGCCATTTGGCGTGGTAATGACACCGCATTGCCGTATGTATACACTCATCTCCCCCCCAGTGCTGTATCAAAGAATTGTGAATGCGCACGAAGGAAGCCCTCTTGGGTATAGAGGGCCATCTGTCATCGTGTAGGGCAATCAGCCTCGAATAGACCGTTGCGGCGTCACATTGAAATCCATGGCCATATCTAGGCGAGCGTGTTCTCTACTTACTCAGTGATCACGAATTAGATTACGCGCGAATCGTAAAGCGGTGGTGCGACTGCCCGAGTTATTTCCGAGAGCTGGTGCGGGTAGAAAATTCGGGTAGTTTCGTATCTAACGTATCACGGGGTACCGTACTGTTTCTTCAGGTGCGCGAAGCACGACTCCAATACACCAATTGCTTGCTTTCAGGTGCTCCGTCATTTCGCGTCCGAAGTTGCCTGGGCCTCCTCCTTTGCGGTAAGCTCCGTTCCAGCCATGTCTAATCGCATACCGGCAAGTTCAAGAAGCAGGATAGCCTGACATACGGCCGCACTAACCGCGTATCGAGCAAGAACTGGAAGCGCATCCAGAGCACCAACAAATATAAGCGATGAGAAGACTAATACACCGAACATAATGTGACCGATGCCTGTCAATGATGCAAGCCAGAAGAGAAGCTCGCCAAATTTGCCGTCCTGACCGCGCACTAGGCATTGCCATCTTCTGGACCCAAAAAGTACGGTTCCGAGTCTCAGATATGGTGAGCAAAGAGATCTCCCTTTTCCGGCAGGTTCTGGACACTGGGAGGCGATGTACGTGGATGGTGCCTGCTGGCGAAGGTGCACTGCTAAGATGCCCATCCCGTGAACGATGAGGCTTAGGAGACTCCATATCAACGGCATGTGCATCTGTCCACATCGCCAACCAGAGACGGATCGAAGGTCGAGGTGTATCGACACTTGGATCGTATTTACCAACATTCCAACAACTACCACGTACTCCGCCGCTCGTACCGCCGCCTTGACGGGGGGCGATTGATTCTTCATCCAGTCATGCCAGCAGTGGGCGATTTTGCTTGTAGAAGTTCCTAATATCTCCCCGGAGGATTCTGGACCCCGAAAGCGATTCAGTGAATTGATAGCCGGCGATGCTAGAGCAAGCAATATGGCAAGGATCGGGAAGCGTGCCGAAAGCAGGCTCAGTTCCGTAACACTCGGCCCTAAGAGTGCGAGAATACTGGGCGCCAGGCCAAGGAATATGGCTGCGGAAGCCATGTTCGACTTTATCGTTTCCGTCGTGTTCCGGAGGATGCAGTCTGTTGCAACCGCGCAGATTGCATGGTTTCGAGTGCGGTTCCCGGTCCAGTAGTCGTTTAGCTGTACCCGGCAGGTTTCGGAGGCCTCGAGCCAGTGGTACTCGTACTTTGGAAACCAGTGGCGAAATTTCTGGGGGTGTGATGAGCAGGCGGCGAGCACGAGGAAGAATGTAACAAGGTACACGCATTTCTGCATCGTGTTGGTATTGTTGCGAGATGCTCGTCGGCTAGGTAAGAACTCCGTTGGTGCGCTGGGCGGGGTTCTAGGAAGGCTGTTAAATGCTGCGGGGTTGTTCCAGCCTCATAGAGCCAAGGCGTTTCACTTTTATAGGTTGGTGACTCAAAACGAGAAAAATCAATCGACCAAGGCGTTTAATTGGGTCACTGTTAACGCCCACTGCGATGATCGGATCTCGGGGGCCAAATCACCTACCAAGAAAATATGTTCAGACATTAATATCCATGACGTCGATGAGGGCGTTCTAG